CTCAATGTTGCCTTAGTATTGTTGTAATAATAATAATAATAATAATAATAATAATAATAATAATAATAATAATAATAATAATAATAATAATAATAATAAATATAATAAATATAAACATTTCGAATCACCTTATGTTGCGTTTAGTGCTGTTGGAGGAATGGCATCACTGCTCATTGTTTATTAGAGAAAAGAAAATATTTATAAAAAAAAGACCAACAACAACCACATTGACCATATGATTTTTAGAAAGATGAATTGGGAGGCATGCCATCACTGCTAATAGAAAAGCAGCATCATGTATTTAAATTATAATTACTATAATAATGATAAAAGTTATTATTATATTTATCTTCTTCTTCTTCTGAAAGCATACTCCCTCGTAACTAAACAATGACACGCTAACCAATGGTCCACCAACATCCATCCCATGGGTGTCCATTCGGATCACTGAATGAGCACCGAGTTATAGTGCCTCTGCCTCACTCGGATGACTTCACTTCGTTCCTCTGCTTCATCGTTAAGACACCGATCAGAAGATAACAGTCTACGGGCATCAGACTCCACCATTGAGTAAGAAAGAAAAACCAGACTGCAGTGTCACAAGTCTAAAACTAAGATGGGATGTCACGGATAGTCTGCAGAAAAATGGACTCTCACTCGTACATGTAAAACTTGGGAGATCATGAAAGAAGCGACAAGGATGATCTCAAGACCCTCCACTTTCTGTTTACGATGGAGGCATCTGATTCTTCTCGCTAAAAGCAATGATCATATCTATATTTATTTATGGATATATGGATGGGGAGACATGAGGCCATTTAGTGGAAACTTGATTGATTTGCAATAACAACAACAACAACAACAACAGGTAATTGGAGTTATTCCTATCTTTGCTGTTTGCTTCATCAACAGCTTGAAAGATGAAAATAACATAGGTGTGTGTGTGTTCACCCATCTAAAACGTAAACCAAACTCTAAATCATCTGGAGACCTGCTGTTGGCTCTCAGGCAGGATTTCTGGCGACGATGCTCTTCCAGAACCAATGCTTCTCCCAAAGCCGTGACATCTCTTCGATCGGAACTTGCTTGGTTTCGGGTAGAAGCAAGATGACGAACGAGGACATGATCACAATCAAGCCAGCAAAGAGGATGAAGACACCCCACCTCATATGGCAAAGCATGGCAAGGAAGCACTGAGCGATCGCGGCGGTGAAGAACATGTTGACGCACACCACAACGCTTTGACCTGCCGATCTCGTCTCCAGAGGGAAGATCTCGCTCGGAACCAGCCAACCAAGAGGTCCCCAGGACCATCCGTAGGCCACCACGAAGGCACAGATTGCGATCACCAGGATCACAGCCAATCCTTTGGGGAGCATCACCCCATGACCGAATTTTAGTGCAAGAATTATAGCGACGATTACCTGTCGGAGACCAAAAAAAAAGAACAACTTTTGTCAGTCAGAATCAGTGAAGACACTCTGGCGACGACATCAACACTCTTGCATTGATGTTGTGAGTGAAGCAAGTCCAGAGTGTCATCATAGTTCTCGACAAACCGAAGCACATCAGTCGGTCATAAAAAAAGTTAGCACCTATCATATTTTAATTCTGCTAAATGGAGAAAACATGCAGCTATATCATCTCAAATTCGAAGCTCTCGGAAGATGTTAAAGATTTAATTTAATTTAATATATGTATTTTTTTCTCATCGATTGGCATATTGTTACCAATCGACTTGGCATCCGAATTTTAGAGCCAACGAGTTGGATACTACGGAAGCTGCTTACCATGGAGGTTATCATCTGAATGCCAGCTTCGATGAACAAGAATCTCCTTCCCATCCTATCGACGACCGACATGGAGACGAGTGCCCCGATCACAAGCATAGAGCTCGTTATGATGGACGAATAGAGAGAAGCCCCGGAGCCCATGCCCAGGCTCTGAAAGATCACGGGAGAATAGAATAGAATCGAGTTCATTCCGGATAGCTGCTGGAACGCAGGAATGCCAAGAGCTCCTATAACGAGCTGGGGACGATTTCTTGGCTCGAGGAGGTTCCTGAAGGGATGCTTCACCGCTCGCGCTGCTTGGCTGGCCTCCTTTAGGTCCTCAAACTCTGCATCCACCTGCTTGGTCCCCCTTACTTTTTCCAGTATTAATCTTGCTTCGTCTAGCTTGCCTTGTTCGACGAGGCTGTTGGGGGTTTCGGGAAGGAAGACACCGCCCACAAACATCAGCGTCGCCGGCACCGTGGCGAGGCCAAGGGAGAGTCTCCATCCCCATGGGTGAAGCTTTTCTGTGAAGTAGTTGATGATGTCAGCTACCAATATACCCAAGCAGGTGGTCAGCTGGAACAATTGGTTGACCGCCCCTCGGATCTTCGGTGGCGCTATCTCCGAAAGATAGAGGGGAACAGCCTGTCGCCAGCATCACAGATATCAGGAACGCGTCGAGACATCAAAAAAAGATAACATGCTTTTCGCTTGAACCTGCTCTTCTACATGATGCTTGTTTGTTTCTAGGATCATGCTGATGCATAGATAACGCGATAAGCTTAATGGTTAGAGCGATTAGATCGATTTGATAATCAAAACTTTAGCTTGGATCTTCCTTCCGTGCACTGCAACATCGATTCAATACCAAAATTTTGCGATTCTAGCTTATTAGCTTACCGGGGAGCATCATTCAGATGGGTCACGCTCCGATGCGTATGGCTAGTAAGTTCTTACCTGATTTCCAAATCCGATGCCAATTCCAAGTAATATTCGGCCGACGATTAGCATGAAGATGTTGACTGCTCCTGCATTGATAGCTCCGCCGAGGAAGAAGCTGACCGAACCACACATGATGCTGATCCTTCTTCCGTATTTCCTGGTCACCGGCGAGGCTCCAAAAGTGGAGACGAGTGCCGCGAAGTAGAGGGCGGACGTGAAGAGAGTCAACACTTGATTGTCGTATTTACAGTAGTCGGTTTCATGAAGATGTGCTTGCTTTCTCCGGTAGACACGGGGGAAGAACTCCTTCAAGAAGTCGTCCATGGAAGTCACTCCACCTGCAGGTTTGGATGCTGAGTGAACTGGGACGAAAATTTCTCTCTTTCATCACGAAATAAATCCTAGTAGACTTTCAAATTAATTGTTGGGAAAATGATACTTTACTGATCCACAAAATTGCTCTGTTTAATCACAAGGTTAAAGGAAAAAGAATCGAAGCTCTTGGCAAAATTTTCAGAGCATTTATATTAAAGCGATTAGGAACTGTGAACCTTTCGTTTGCGCAAACGAGGAAAAGGATATCCGAAAGTCAAAAGAAGATAAAAAAGTAACTCTAAAAAGTGTGCCCGTCTGAGTTCCCAATTCGTGGGGGAGCGGTCTTCAGGCCTTTTCATGAATACACAATAAGAATAGATTCATCTCTCCGGTCTCCGGCCAGGAAGAGTTAAATACCACACAATTTTCATGGAGATAATAACGAGACACACAAAATACCCATCAACGCCAACTATCTTCCGAGAACACCCGAAGATTTGATCGAGGAACCATTAACGACCAAAACTTTTCATTTCAGAGCGATGGCACATCAGATGAAATCATTTCTCCAACAAACAATGAACTCTGGAGAAGACCAGGAAACGCGAAGAAGGGGGGGGAGGTGGCAACGAGGACTTACCGGATACGCCGAGATCGTAACCAAAGAGGGATCCTCCGAGGGATCCCACGACGCATGCCAATATGAAGTAGCCGGTGATCCTACCCTCGTACAGCTCTGCTCTCCTGCCCAACTCACCACCAACAAAGCCCCCAGCCATCGCTCCCGTCTCCCTGTCTGTCACTCAGCTTCTTGTAACTGCAGGAGCAAGCCAGATCTGTTAGAACGACGGTCAAACTCGAGGAAGAAAAAAAACATGAAGCGAACACTAGATGATCAGTGTTATTTTACTAGCTGGTAGGAGGATGCCTGTCGATGAATCAACAGACAGACAAGTCATGTGAATCCGTAAAAATAAGAGGCAGGCTTTGACTAGAGCAGCGGGGTCTCGATCTTGGTGAGGCTCCCGAGAGAGGGGGAGGGAGGGAGGGAGGGGAGAAAAGAATGGCATATGCCCGCTGGACATGACCGGCATAAGAGCAAACCGCGACTTGGAAAGAAATAGTAGTCTATGATAGGGTCGGATATGTCGAAAGAAACAATTTTGTTAGGTTTGGATACGGTGAAAGAAATCAATATCTTGGCGGCTGCGGGGTTTGACTTTGGTTGAAGTTGGTAATATGATGATAATTTATAGGATCTTTTTTCGATGAAAAGAGTGGGGGGGTAAGACGACGAACAGAGGACT